ATCAGTGGTGCCTTCTAAGATAATGAAACAACAGTCTTACCTTCGGGAAAGGACTATAAACTCCTTAAAAGAACCGTCAAGTCACTCTAATAGGTGGTTCTTGAGAAAACTAAGGACCACCGGTGACAATGTCACCTTACCGAAGCGAAGTCTGAAAGGCCCTAATGTTAAAACGCACGAGAGCTGCCAAGGTTAATCACGTTAACACAGAAGGGAATACACCTATGATGTGTAAGGTGCAAGTTGCGGGAAGGAAGGTCAAGGTGATACTTGATAACAGTTCGTCCATTAGTATCGTGTCGAAGAAATTTTTGAAATCACTGGGATGAAAAATAGAGAAACCATCTGATAGAAGAATAGTCAGTATTCACAGCAAGAGACGTACTAGCCTAGGAGTTGTAACTCAAGTATCTATAAAATTAGGAAGGATAACTGTAATGATAGACATGGAGGTAATCGATGCAACTGGGTACGCTCTAGTTTTTAGCACTGACTAGCTGAGAAGGATGAAAGCAATTATTGACTATCAGAAATGCAAGCTAATATTAAAAGATGAAGAAGGAACAGTTAAAATCCCCTGCAAGAATACTAATTCAATGACACTAGATAATGACGAGAACGATAGTAAAAGTGGAGGAGAGCAGAAGGAAAGTAGTGAAGACACGAACATGGAAGAAGATGATGAAGTAAATTTCATTAGATTGTCATACAAACTATCACAGCAGGAAGTCAACACTACGTGCAAGATCACTCCCGAAGAGATATGTATCGGTTTGGAACATATCATATGGGAGGTCTATGATTATCTGACGAATTATTTTGATGCCGTCAAAAGAAAGAAATGAAAATGAGAAAGGCGGAAGATTATGGGACCTAAGCCCTACTGTTGGTGTAACAAGTACCTTGAAGATGATAAGGCCAGTTGCGATATATATGAGAAATAGCAGAGTTGGAAAACAGTTTCAATAGTATCACAAGACGAGATCCAGTGTGTCTGCTGCAACCTGATCCAGGGAGGAGTAGAGATCAGAAGTAGAACAACGAAGCATGAACCCTTCTGCCTGCTTTACAGCTGAAGTCTCACCTTACCCATAGAACTTGATATTGTCACTTGACCAGTTACAGAGATTAATGAAGACCAGTACGAGGATCTAGTTTGTAGAAGAATCAGTAAGATTGTGGAAAAATTGTTGACGACAAGATTAAGGTCACTGGGAATATAAAAAATGTTTAAGCAAGGCAAAAGGGAGCTCACGATAGAAGAATCAAGACCACGACATACAAAACGGGTAACATGGTGTCAGAATACCACTCAGACCTGCAGAATGCCCATGGAGACAAGTTTCGAAATAAGTGAGCGGGACCTTTCTTCATCCACTAAGTCCTAGGAAATAGGTCATACGTACTATGAACCATAAGTGGAGAGATACTCAACAATTGCCCTGTACATGGAAATCGATTAAAGCCCTACAAACAAAGAGACTTCATCACACGTGAGATGACAGGGATACATAATAGAAATTACTAGAAATTCCTATCAATATGAAAAACGCAATTTACAAATTATCCTTTAATCCATTCAGAACTTCTATATGAATGTCTTTCAATTTACTAAAAATCTTTACGAATACGTCCACAAGATATGAGAAAAGTTGCAGCCAATATCGGAGGAAGCACAACTAACCATAGATCAAACAGAGTATATCTAGTGGTGGAAAACAGTGTGACAAGGATCGAAGAGTCCACGGGTAATGATACACCAGTACCCTACACTATGGATGTCATAACCGTCTTCAAAAAAATAGAAGATCTTACCGAAGTCACATTCGACTTTGACATAGAAGGACTAGCATCAATAGTGGTAAACTCAGCCAACGGGAACTGACAGAGGCTAAATGCGTATTGACAGCTTGGAAGCTATATACACAATGCTCAAACGAAATAGACAGTTGCGATGGTGAAACAAGAACTATAGGAACAGTTCTGACAGAACGGTCCACAGATGTATCAGATATTGTTAAGGGTATGGATGCTTTTTTAGAAAGTAGGAACCCCTCATACCAGGAATTTTCGTTGTATCACCTCAGACTGGATATACAAACTGTTCAAATCAGAGTTCGAGAGATTTGTACAGCTATGTGAAGACATGGGTTCACAAATAATGAAAGAAATAATGAATATAGAGGTATGGTTATGGGAGCTCCCCTTTGAAGGAGGAAATGTTTGAGGTAACATGAAGTTAACCAATGTCATGAGAGATGAGAGAAGATGACCATGTTACTATTTGAATGAATTATCTTTGTATTTCGCATATTATCCTTCATCCAAGATGAAAGGTGATATTCTCATATTTATGGATAATAATGGATGAAGGTAAACAAAGGGAATAATATAAAATAACTGCATAATGAGAAAAGAAACAGGAAATTTTTTCCTCTTGCGAAACTTTTAAAATTCATATAATATTTTATCTTGACAACAACATTTTCTTTTATATATTTTTAATAACAAATAATTTCGTAATAATCCTAATAATTTATAATTACTTTTCTTATATTTTTATAATAAATAATTTCTCAAATAATACTAGTAATAATAAATACAAATAGTTTTGAAATAGTCTTAATAATAATAAATAATTTTTGTAATAGT